AATGTGAGATCCTAGTATGAATGTTGTGGTTCCAGCTAATGAAACATTCCAAAGAACTTCCAGGCATTTATTTTCCTAAAAGTCTTTTATTGTTACAAAATGTCGGCACAGGCACAATGGAGGGATGCTAGGATCTAAGTTCTCTTCCTCTGAGCAATTAAATTATCAGCATGTTCCCTCCCTAAATTAGCCGTCATATCTCACACTATCCAATTAGTGTGAAGGTCAAATGTTTTCTTCCTCTTTCTTTCCCGGGCTTTACCCCCAACACCCCTTCTGCTCTTTATTAACCCCATATTTACCAGACAATTCTGCATATTGTCAAAAGCAAGAATGTACAATATTTGCAGCATTGACAATCAGGCACTCCACCAATAGGTCCACCAGACCATGGTAAGAGCGAGTCAGGAAAAAAGCAATGGCACTCCAATGTAAAATGGACATCTTACGGGTGCCAGATAATGGTGGGCATACTATTAAGCTCGTCCACAATCTGTCCTCCAAACCCCTGACCCAGGAACAGATTTCCCTCTTAGAATGGGATGCAGGCCACAACCTGATGGACGCACGGGCAATTTACCTCGTGGCATCTTTAGAGCCTACCATCCAACGCATGGAGGCCAATGATGAGGTCAGAAACACAATCAGACAGCAGGTTACCAGCCTGCTGATTAACCCTAAATGGCGTCAGGTGCTCCCTAGAGAGGAGGAAGAGGCCCTGGAACAACTAAAAAAGAACAACACTATTGTCATATTCCCAGCTGACAAGGGCAGGGCAATTGTGGTTATGGACAGATCAACATATTTTGACAAAGCCCAGGCATTACTTAATGACACTACGGCCTACAGAGTCATCACTAAAGATCCGATGATAACACACACAAACCGCATCAATAAGGTACTTAGCAACCTCAAATGTCGAGGTAAAATCGATGACACATTGAGGAGGATACATCCCAGCGACGCGGCCAAGGCTAGGTTTTATGGTCTCCTGAAGGTACACAAAAAAGGGGTCCCCCTATGACCCACTGTGTCCTTCAGGGGCACACCAACTTCGGGACTAGCCAAATGGCTTAGCGGTCGCATCAGCCACTTGGTCGATAACAATGAGACCACTGTGAAATCAGCTGAGGAGTTTCTGGAGAGAGTAAAGCCCCTAAGGATAGAGAAAGATGAGGTAATGATATCATTTGATGTTACCTCACTCTTTACTTCTATTCCCCCAAGATCTGGCAGTCACGGCAATAAGGGACTTCCTGCAAGAGGGGCCTGAACAACATAATGACTCTCTCCATACCAATGATTTAATACAGTTGCTAACCCTATGCCTGAAGACATACTTCACCTTTCGGGGCGTGGTATACGAACAAATAAAAGGGACGCCAATGGGAATCCCCCATCTCAGGCATCATTGCTGAGGTGGTTCTTCAGTGGCTAGAGTCAATAGTAATGTTGAGATACTGCCCAAAAGTTTGGGCGCGCTATGTAGATGATACTTTTGTGATTGTCAAAAGACGGGATAGCGCCAAATTCTTGGAGGAACTGAACTCAGTATATCCAGACATCTGCTTTACCGCAGAAGAAGAGATCCAAGGCAGTCTTGCCTTTCTGGATGTACTGATCAGCTGATGCCCTAATGGCACATTGTGCACGTCTGTATATGCAAACCCACCCATACAGACAGAATGCTACATTATAATAGCAACCATCTGGCAGCACATAAAATCAGCTGCATCCGGACGCTGTTTAAATGGGTTAATTCCCATTGTAACACAGGCAAAGCTAAAGCCAAGGAGAAAAAACATCTCCATCACATCTTCATGCGCAATGGCTATCCCATGAGGTTTGTGAGACAGTATAGTAGACCACATCGAAATCATGGAGACTCACGCTCCAATGGGACAGCAATGCCGGCCACACGAACAACCCTCCCTTACATTCATGGTGTCTCCGAGGCCACAGCATGGCTGTTGGCCCCCTACAATGTGAGCGTTGCCCACAGGTCCGAGCACATCCTTGGGTCCAAGGTCATGCATCCAAAAGAACTGCTCCCTAATGGTCAAAGATCATCTGTGGTTTACAGAATTAATTGCAAGGACTGTGCAAGCAATTACGTTGGGGAAACCACTAAAAGACTGAGGACCAGGGTTTATGAACATGAATTGGCTATTAGAAGGCAGGAGCAATGCTCACAAGTGTGGGCCCATATGTCCAGCTCTGGCCACACTTTCGATCTAGCTAACGCAGAGGTTATAGCTCGTGAGACTACCCAGGGTGGCCGCCTACTCAAGGAAGCCTGGCTCTCTAATGAAAATTCTATCAACCAGCATATAGACCTTATGCCAGCCTACCAGAGGCTTAGGAGATGGGAATAACAGCACCACGGACTATTGAGAAGACATTTAACTTTTCCTTGGCAGGATAGGGGTGGTAGAATGTTGGATGAGACAGGCACGATCTCCAAGGAAGAAGATGACAGCGTTTTACATAATTGGGACAATGGCTCTATAGATGGGATGACCACGACTCACATGGACCAAGATGATGGACCAAATGGCCATAAGCCAGGGATGGAAGCACTGAGGCGATCTGGAAGGAGGGGGAGAGAGGGGGAAGACAGAGCGCAGGAATGTCAGAACAGTTGCTTGTTGCAGGACTGGGACGGAGGAATTACGACAACAGTCTTGGGGGTGGGGGAGGATAATGGCCCTGGGAGGGAGGGGGACTGGGCACAGGGACGGGTTGACAGCTGCCCTCCAAGTGCTTGCACATGCTCAAAAAGAGCACTTGAGGATCGTAAAACAACCAATGGAGTCAAAGACAGTTTGCCTGATGCAGAACAACTCGGTGTGATAAGGATTAACACAATCAATGGGCCGGGCACAGAGGCATGAGGCTATATGAGCTGCCTTCCCAATCTCCTGCTATTCTAACTCTGATGACGCCAGCAGTTTTTTGGTCGGACGAAAGCTTAGTAACTCTTCTTAACCACAGGCTTGTTTATATTAAACAGGCTGGTTTATTATATCCTGATGTTCGTTTTTTCTTTTATTTGTTAGCATAATGCCCAGAATTCGCATTACCAAACAACACACAGAGGTAGTTCAAATTTGCAAAATCAGTGTCAGGAAACTTCAACTTCATAATGAGTGGAAGTTAATGAAGCATGTGAAGAAAAACCCAAGTGCTCTTTAGACATGTTCAAAATGAAACCAAGAGAAAATAAACATTATGCTAGCTACTCTGGGAAGATGGCAAAAGATAGCAAATAACAAAGAAAAGATAAAATACTTTGCTCCTAAAAGGCAGGATACTCCGCTGATTAAAAAGCACCATTTGAGTCTGAGCTTGACAATAGCATTATCAGGAAATATTGACTGATCTTGTTTCTAAGGCCAGCTAGGTTACTGAATGAATTTCCTGGTGGTTTGCCAAGTTCAAAAATTGAGATTAGATTAGTCTGGTGAGATTTATTCTTGACAAAAATATGTCAACGTCTAGTAACCATGCATTGTTTTATTTACAGATACTTACAGATTTATTGTTTTTTGGCCTGTTTTTTAATCCTTAATGTCAAAGTGCTTGATATTTAGTTCTTTGGGAACCATCCTCTTTTTGAAGATGCAAAGCTTTGTTCTCCTCCAATCAACCAGTATGTCATCCAGGATTTTTTTAAAGGTAATGGATAATGTTCAAACTAGACATGAGCAAGTTTCTTCAATGTCTTAAAAGTCAATAGGTATTCTATGCCGTTTCTATGCCTGAGCTGAAATCTTACTCTTTCATTCAGTTCCTATGGTCATCCAGTGTAACTCAAATCCTCTTTTCAGAAAAGATGAAGCAAAATGAGGAGTTTTGCCCTCTTTCTATTACCTGTTATCCTTGTGCCATTTTCATAAAATTTCTGATATACTGAATATTTTCCTTTAATTCCTTTGTTTAGAATAATTCTTAGCATCCTTTGCCAAGTTCATTTTGAGATTTAGCTTTCCTAGCAACTTTTATGCTATCAAATCAACATTTTCTTGGTGACCTGTTTATATTTCCACATCCTCTATATGGTTTTTAAAATTTTTAGATATTCACCAAGCTTTTTCTCTAGTCAGAATGGCTCCTTTGCTGTTTTTCATGTTTTTTCCCTCTCTGAAATTGTTTGTGATTGTGCTTTTAGTTCATGTATAGCCAAAATTTTGTAAGATCAACTTTGTTAACATAAATCTTGCATAGTAGGATTCCCCAAATCTTGTAAGATTATGCTTTGAGGATCTCCTTCCTTAGAAACTCTCACCCATCAGAGCAGAAGGAGCAGAAGGAGTAAAATGGGCTTGTATTAAGGTAAGGGCACTAATAACCTTACAAGCTCTTTGGAGGGATGGCGGGAACAGAGAGAGAAGTTTTGATTGCCAGCTTCAGCTAAAAAAAGACAATGCATCCAAAGATTGCCTCTGATTCCCATGGCAAACTTTATTTTCCTTCTTGAGCAATGGAGACCCAGAAGAAATACAATATGTATCTACCCGTATAATGTCTCAGTACTGTTTTTCTTATGTGCTAGAAAAATAATGCAATGTACTTAAATTCTAAACAGAAACAAAGTATTCAATATTGACAAAAGATGCTTAAAATTGTTATTACGTCTAAATTTGATCATAGAGTATTGGGTATAAATCTCTGCTTTAATCATGAGACTAGTTGGGCAATTTTAGCTCATATTCTACTTCACGGTAACCTACCCCTTGTCTTCCCTCCTTCCTCCTTTCTCTCTTTAGGTTGTCTGAAGACACCTACAATATTTCCAGTTGCAGTTTGAAGACGAAGGCTCAGTCACAGAAAAAAAGACTATTTATTCATTTTATTTATGACTCAATATTCTTCTAGAATAGCTCAACATGTTGTTCAATATAAGCTCAAGCTAAGGATACAAAAACATCATGGTTTATGTAATTCTGTAACATCTTCACATCATTATGCATTAAGCAGCCTAAGCAATTTCTATTTACCTTCCAGGTTGCTCAGGGTACTTCTGTTTTGTGTATGCCTCCAGAGTAGCATAAACTTTCTCACGTAGCAATTCCACATCTGCAGGATTGGACAGGCCTTTGGCATCTGATGCATTTACAATAGAGGGAAATGATTAAAAAGAGGAATAAATATTCCAGTCCCTGAAACAATAGCATCCAATTTTTTTTTAAAAAAACCCTGCAGTCGTCCTTAAGGATGAAAGTGCTGCACCATTTAGGACAAGTAGTAATCTCACCAGAAAAAGTCATACTGATTCTTAAATTATGTGTTAGATGAAGAAAATCTAACAGTTTTATAAAATATTAATAAACTTTATTACCCATTTTATGAAATCCATGAAAAGACATGTAGCTTTTTCATAGCATAATAGCATAGTTACAGTTGCAACTTGAGAAGTTGTAACATGGTTAATACTGAACACTGGGACAATGTCAGCAGTCCCATTGTATCTTGCGAAGGGAGAATCCCTTCTCTTTTTTTCTCCTGCCACCCCCACCCTCCCATTTCTGTTCAACTACTCTTCTCATAAGAGCTGACTTTAACAAACTCAGAGAGAACCTAGGAAAGATCCCATGGATGAAAATCCTAAAGGGGAAAACAACCCAAGAATCATGGGAAACTCTGAAAAATGCGATCATAAAAGCCCAAACCAGCACAATACCACTGAAAAAGAAAAACAAGAAATTCAAGAAGAAACCGGTATGGCTCACAAAGTTTGTCTCTGACAAACTGAAAGACAAAAAGGACAAATACAAAAAATGGAAAGAGGGGCACATAACTAAGGCCAATTATCAGCAGACAGCCAGAACATGCAAAGATGAAGTCAGGAAAGCAAAGGCTCAGAATGAACAAAGACTTGCAACGGAAATCATAAATAATAAAAAAAGTATCTTCCAACATATTAACAACAAGAAAAAAGTCAAGGAAACTGTAGGTCCACTAAAGAGAGAAGATGGCAAGGAAATAACAGGCAACAGGAAGAAAGCAGAGCTGCTTAACTCATACTTTACATCAGTCTTCACAAAAAAAGAAATTATAGACCAACATACCCCAAAAAAAAACCACTGCAAAAGACAAATTAGAAACAAAAATTAAAATAAACAAGAAAATGGTAAGAGAACACCTATCCAACCTTGACAAATATAAATCACCGGAGCCTGACAGATTACATCCCAGGGTTTTGAAGAAGCTGGCAGATGTTATCTCAGAACCAGTGCACCACATGTTTCAAAAATCCTGGACCACCGGTGAAGTACCTGAGGATTGGAAAAGGGCTGATGTGGTTCCCATCTTCAAGAAAGGGGGAAAAACGGACCCAGGAAACTACAGACCAATCAATTTAACATCAATACCTGGGAAGATCCTAGAAAAGATAATCAAAAAACAGATCTGCGAACAATTAGAAGCAAACAAAGTTATAACCAGTAGCCAGCATGGGTTTGTTAAAAACAGATCATGCCAAACCAATCTTATTTCATTCTTCGACAAAGTGACTAAACTAATAGATAAGTGAAATACTGTGGACATAGTATACTTAGACTTCAGTAAGGCATTTGATTAAGTAGATCCTACTCCTTGGTAAGCTAGAAAAAAGTGGAATAGACAACATCACCACCAGATGGATCTGTAGTTGGCTGGCAAACCATACTCAATGAGTAGTCCTCAGCAGCAGTACATCCACATGGAGAGAAGTAAGCAGTGGGGTACCACAAGGCTCCGTCTTAGGCCCAGTACTCTTTAATATCTTCATCAATGACTTAGATGAGGGAATTGAAGGGGAACTCATCAAATCTGCAGATGACACCAAACTGGTAGGAGTAGCCAACAGCCCAGAAGACAAACTCAAGATCCAAAATGATCTTGACAGACTTGAACAATGGGCCCTAATCAACAAAATGAGTTTTATGTGGAGAAAAGCAAAGTTTTACATTTAGACAGGAAAAAATGAAAGGTACAAGTACAGATTGGGCAAGACCTGGCTTAAAAACAGCAACTGTGAACGGGACCTTGGCGTCCTACAGGACGATCACTTAACCATGAGCCAGCTGAGTGCAGCAGCAGCCAAAAAAGCTAATACAATCCTGGGTTGTATAAACAGAGGCATAGAATCAAGATCACGTGAGGTATTAGTATCACTTTATAAAACCCTAGTAAGACCACAACTGGAATACTGCAGCCAATTTTGGTCACCATATCACAAAAAAGATGTTGACAGTTTGGGAAAAATTCAGAGAAGAGTATCTAAGATGATCAAAAGCCTGAAGACTAAAACATATGGAGAACGTTTGCAGGACTTGGGTTTGGCTAGTCTAAAGAAAAGAAGAAATAGGGGAGACATGATAGCAGTATTCCAATATTTGAGGGGCTGCCACAAAGAGGGGGGTCACATTATTTACCAAAGCACCAGAGGGCAGGACAAGAAACAATGGTTGGAAATTAATCAAAGAGAACTTGGAATTAAGGAGAAACTTCCTAACAGTGAGGACAATTAACCAGTGGAATAGCTTGCCTCCAGAAATCATGGGTGCTCCATCACTGGAGATTTTTAAAAAGAGGTTAGACAGTCACTTGTCTGAGATGCTATAGGTTCTCCTGCTTAAGCAGGGGGGTGGACAAGAAGCCCTCCAAGGTCCCTTCTGCTCTATTCTATTCCATGTAGTATTCCATTTCTCTTTCCTTTTTGAAACTCATCTTCCATACATCTAACCCCTATTGTTTCTTAAAGATCAGTGATGGCGAACCTTGTAGAGACCGAGTGCCCAAACTGCAACTCAAAACCCACTTATGTATCATCGGGTGCTGGGTGCCCTTGGAGCCGGCGATCAGCAGGGCCCTGTCACAGAAGGACTTAGGGGCGCCGGGGTCCAGGCCCACAAAGCCCACCTTCTTCTTGCCCGAGCTGCCCAGATACATGCCCCCATTGTGCGACTTCTGCACCATCCTGCGGCTGCAGCAGCAGTGCGGAGGCCGATCACAGGCTCAGAGCAGGCATGAGTGGGACAGCCATGCAAGGCAGAGGCGCTGCCCAAGGCCAGAGCAGGGCAGCGGCATGACAGTGGCAGAGCCAGGAGGGACTGCGGTGACAGCAGCACAGAGGCCGATCATGGGCTCAGAGTAGGCATGAGTGGGGCAGAGGTGGTGCCCGGGGCCGGAGCGGGACAGTGGCATAGCAGCGCAGACTGCGGGACTGCGACAGTGGCAGCAACAGCTGGGTCACTTTGGCCAAAGCAGCAACAGCGATGGCAGCAGTGCAGAGGAGGCGAGGAGCAGCACCCGCAGTCTGCCCGGCCTCCCCTCTGCCTGCTTTGCGCAGCTCCTCCTGGGCCCCACAGACCGTTAATCGTGCCGCTTGCTGAAAATATGGAGGGGGGTGACGCATGATCGGAAGAGCACCCCTGAGGCTACAGGTGACCTGGCCTGGCATAGGAAGGGCACATGCCCCACCTACCGCCACCATGCAGGGTGAGATTGCTGCGCCTGCCCAGATTCCCTCGCCTCCCCCAAGCATTTTTTTACTAACCTCCTTTCAGCTGCATTCCGTTTCTCCGTTCGCTTCTCAGCCTTCGCCGCATGTTTGTGTCCCAAACACAAGTAGTAAAAAAAAAAGTTCCATCAGTCTTTCTAACTTCTTGAGATCTCGTGAAAAGTTAGAAAGTCTGATGGAACTTTTTTTTTTACCGATAGTCCCACAAACACGCAGCAAAGACTGAGAAATGAACGGAGAAACAGCATGCAGCTGAAAGGCAGGTTAGTAAAAAAAAAATGCTTGGGGAAGGCAGGGGCGGGTGCAGCAACCTTACCCTAGTGGGTATTGATGCAGGTTGCTCATGAACAGGACTGAAGGCCTAGGACTGGGGTGATGGCGTGCATGCCAACAGAGAGGGCTCTACATGCCACCTGTGGCACGCATGCCATAGGTTCGCCACTACGGTTATAGATCATTGCTGCCTCAGTAAATGCAACATGATAATGGCAAACATTGAAAGTCAATTTAAAAAAACAACAACAAAAAGAAATCAATTATAAAAAGCCACAAGAAAAAAAATACTGGCTGCTCCTCAGAATCCAAGATAGCCAATGGCTAAATTAGCTGGGTGTAGAGAGGCATGAGAATTTCCTAAGGAAGATGGCAGCCTTCCCAAGAGTCAATACTTAACCTGGATTGAACAAGACAATGGCTCGCAGACACCCCAGTTCAGATTTGTCCATCTGCATGTCTTTCATTTTGGATACTAACTCAGTAAGAACCCTGCATACAGAGACAAGGGAGAAGGGGAATGAATGAATCAAGTTATATATATGCAGTACTGGTGCTTCTACTCTAAGCGGTAGTTAAGTGGGTTTAGGACAACTCTCCACAGCCATTTTGCCATGGCCAACTCCCCATGGGGGAAAATCCACACGGGATAATTCAATGCAATAAATGTTATCTGCCACTGTTTCTTTGACATCATTTTCATTTTTGTCCATTTCCACAAAAATGGAAATATATCAAGAAGCATGGCAAATAACATTTATCATGTGGAGTTATCCCATGTGGAATTGTCCCACGGTGAGTTGTTTGCAGCAAGTTGTCCTGTGACATGGCCACGGCCAGTTATCCCATTCCATGGTTTAGTGTGGGATTACCAGGAAGGAGGTGGTTTTTTGTTGTTGTTGTTTAATGGAGCATCAATGCAACACTATAATCAATTAGAGTAAACCTGCATTTTTGCAGTAGTTGTCCCATCTATTTTCAGGGTTGTGGAAAATCTGATTTTTTTTAAAACAGGAATAATCTTCACGCAAATGGATGCTCAGTTCTGTTTTTTATCTTTTTTTCAAGCTAGGATTTCAATCTAAGCAGTGATAAAAGCCCTCAATGTTTTGGAATGCAGATACCTGCAGAATTATCTATTTCAACTAAAATCCACTCATTCAGTTTGTATGTCCTAGAGGAGGGTGCTCTTGTGAGAAATTTGTGGGAAGAGGAAGAAATTAGTGCTTCTCTATGGGGTCTCAAACTCTCTGGAACAGACTTCTTGTAGAAATCAGTATGTCATCTTCCCTGCCAGGATTTAGGCTGTTGATGGAAAGAACTTTCAAGAGTTAATGGTTAAATGTTAGAGCTGGGATACAGCCATGTTAGTATAATTCTGGCAATTTTAGAGATTGCGGTGTAATTTTTATTCTGTCTGAATATGTTTTATGTGGTATATCATCAGGATTCTGTTGGGAACGGGGCAGTACCAAATACATTAAACAAATAACTGTATAGTCAAGTGATATCATGCCTTCATTACTTTGCAATGTCTTTCATATTTTTGTCCCAATTATTTTATGTATTTATTCCAAAAGAGGACAACTCTAAAGGAACACTTGAATTAATTAGGAAAAACTATAACTAAAGCCACAAATGAAAAACTCTTATAAAGTGTTCATCTTCTTAATCTGGTTGAGCAACTAGAGGTGCAGATCATTCCTTCCAATCTCCTATTGTCTATTATGCTTGCAGTGCTAATTTTATATGGATTTCATAAAATATGCTTAGTCTATCATAACACCTATCTAAAGTTAATTTTTTTTAATTCCACCTCGCTGATAATTCTTTATTAATCCTTCCTATGGCTTGCACACTTAGAATATGCCTGTGAATCTGTCTGCATTTTCTCTTTCTTATAATATACTACCTAGTTATCTAGGCTACATAGATGGAAACTGAAATGTTCCCTTATCTTCTTTAGATCAGCATATTCCATTCATCAGAAGAAGGAATTGCTGTTCCTGTAAAAGACCTGTGTTAAACATACCCATTATTATTTGACGTTGTCTCATAATGATCAGATCACAGAGGAGGAAGGCATGCAATTGAGATATGCTCTTTTATAGGCAATATGTACATATAATCTTGCAGAAAAAATAAGATCCCATATTTTTGTTAATCAGTACACTTTTAATAAAGTGACCACTAATATTTTCATAAAGAGAATTTAACTAGGGGTTCTTAAGCTGCAGCTTTTGCCCAAGGCTACAGCTGATGGGCAGTAAATAGAAAGAATTTAAATTCATACATGCTGTCTCATTCATAGCAGCTGGATCATTTCCACTCATGCTCTTGGAGTAAGAGTAAGAAGAAATGGATAGTCGATAAAAAATGTCAACATCAGTTTAATTTTTTTATTATTATTTCTCTTGATCCCTAAAGCAGAAGAACAAAACTTAATGCTGGAAAGCAGCCATCTACAAAGAAATTGCAGAATAATATGCAAAACAGGGAACTAACAACATGTTATATATTGGTATGTGAGTGAGCCCCAAGGCTATTTCTGAAAATCAAAAACTTTTTTGAAGGCAAAAAAGTAGAGCAGAGAAGTTTCACAAGTGTCCCCCTGAATGAACCCAGGCAATCTTTCCTTTCCTACAGATTTCAGAAATACATTTTTCTTATTTAAGCTTTTCTTACTCTACCAAAACTAACCAGAAGTCATCTAGGAAAATGCAAATGCTGGAATTAAGAATAAAAGCATACCTGTCAAATAGGGAGCCCACCCCAGCACTGTGTGCACTGCTCCGGTGCACGTGTAAGCCAGTGGCCAGTAAGATACCATCCTGCACAGAAACAGAGCGATGAGAAAAAGAGGCAATCAGCAGTTCATTCCAACCTAAAAGAGGAAATAAAAGTGATAGACTCATTTTTTTCTGGAGTCTTTAAAAAATATCTGCTTGATCATCTGGCTGTTAACTTGACTGGACCAATTTATGCTACACTAGAGTATGAATAAGCCAGTATTGTTTATAAGCAACAAAGATAAAGAAGATCCTTTTTAAAAACAGAAACTAAAATAAATAACAAGGCAAAAGATAGTCTGATTATGAAGTAATAGCATGAATATTGAAAATCTATTTCTCATTTTGCACATTCTTATAAAATGTTTGCATCTCATGGCATAATCTTTGCAGGGAATACAGATCCATGACCTGCTATTGAATAAATATCTTTCTGCATAGGGACACCAGATTTTAGTAAACCAGTAAATGTTTAGAAGACGTTACTGGACTTTAGTGCCTCAGAATGCAATTGGAGAAGAATGTGTCTTACTACTTTCCAAAACTAAAAAAACAAACAAACCTACAAACAAACCGTCAAAACCTGGGTGCTGAGGAATTGTTTAAATTAAACTCTTTTCCCAGCATAGCCACTGTTTAAATATAAACTATTTTTAACAGGCCATCAAATTGTTCTTATTTTTATACTTTTCAAACTTATTTTAAACAAATGCACAAAGGACAGTCATTTTACTTGACGTGTGATTCTATAGATCATAGATGACACAACCAGCATGACAATATCTCAGTATCCATGGGGGTTGTATAATCACATCCAACCAGGTAGATGGCTTTTTCCAAGTACAGGTAGTCCTTTACAGGGCTTTTTTTCTCATAGAAAGCCCAGAACGGAGTTCCGACACCTTTTTTGGATGGAACCTTGTAGGGTAGGCAAGGCGGGTTGTATGACGTGTGAGAGTTCCGGCACCTTTTTTTTTTTTTTTTTTTTTTTAAAAAAAAGCACTGGTCCTTGACTTATGAACACAATTGAGCCCAAAATTTCTGTTGCTAAGCAAGGCAGTTGTTAAATGAGTTTTGCCCCATTTGACAACCTTTCTTGTTACAATTGTTAAGTGAATCACTGCAGTTACTATTAGTAACACAGTTGTTAAGTGAATCTGGCTTCCCCATCGACTTTGCTTTTCAGAAGCTAGCAAAAGGTGATCACATGATCCTGGGACACAGCAACAGTCATAAGTATGAACAAGTTGCCAAGCATCCGAATTTTGATTAAATGACCACAGTGATGCTCTAATAATCATATGTGTGAACAATAAGTCACGTTTTTCAGTGCATTGTAACTTTGAATGGTCACTAAACAAATGGTTGTAAGTCTATAGGACTGCCTGAAGTCCATAGATAGTGAGAATTTAGAGGATTAGATTAGAGGCTTATAATATTATCCATAACCGTCCTGGTAGTAACTGCTCCACTACCCTCTGGCTGGCAAGATGAAGGACTTCCTTTCAGCCTTGAGACAGAACAAATCCTACCATTCTGTCTTGTTAAGCCAGTGGTTCTCAACCTGTGGGTCGGGACCCCATTTGGGGTCGAACGACCATTTCACGGGGGTCGCCAAACAAGGCTGTCCGCCATTTTTTCCCCCTTTTCTTTGGCCACGCCCCTGGCACCCAGTGATGTATAAGTGATTGGGGGTCACCACAACATGGGGAACTGTATTATGGGGTTGCGGCATTAGAAAGGTTGAGAACCACTGTGTTATAATAATAATAATAGTAAAGTTGGAAGGGACCTTGGAGGTCATCTAGTCCAACCCCCTGCTCGGGCAGGAAACCCTACACCATTTCGGACAAATGGCTGTCCAGTCTCTTCTTAAAAACTTCCAGTGTTGGAGCACTTACTGCTTCTGGAGGCAAGCTGTTCCACTGATTAATTGTTCTCACTGTCAGGAAGTTTCTCCTTAGTTCTAGTTGCTTCTCTCCTTGATTAGTTTCCACCCGTTGCTTCTTGTCCTGCCTTCAGGTGCTTTGGAAAATAGCTTAATTCCCTCTTCTTTATGGCAGCCCCTGAGATATTGGAATACTGCTATCATGTCCCCCCTTGTCCTTCTCTTCGTTAAACTAGACATACCCAATTCTCGCAACCGTTCCTTATATGTTTTAGCCTCCAGTCCCCTAATCATCTTTGTTGCTCTTCTCTGTAATCTTTCTAGAGTCTCAACATCTTTTTTACATCGTGGTGACCAAAACTGGATGCAGTATTCCAAGTGTGGCCTTACCAAGGCATTGAAAGTGGTATTAATATTTCACGTGATCTTGATTCTATCCCTCTGTTAATGCAGCCTAGCACTGTGTTGGCCTTTTTGGCAGCTGCAGCACACTGCTGGCTCATATTTAAGTGATTGTCTACTAGGACTCCGAGGTCCCTCTCACAGTTACTACTATTGAGCATGGTGCCACCTATGCTGTCCTTGTGCATTTGGTTTTTCTTGCCTAAATGTAGAACCTTGCTTTTTTCACCATTGAATTTCATTTTGTTAGTTAGTGCCCCGTGTTCAAGTCTGTCCAGATCCTTCTGTACCTGAAGCCTGTCTTCTGGAGTGTTGGCTATTCCTGCCAGCTTGGTGTCATCTGCAAATTTGATGAGTTCCCCATCAATCCCTTCATCCAAATCGTTGATGAAGATGTTGAAGAGTACTGGGCCCAGAACAGAGCCCTGGGGCACCCCACTACACACTTCCCTCCATATAGATGCAGTTCCATTGAGGACCACTCGCTGAGTACGGCCGGTCAGCCAGCTACGGATCCATCTGGTGGTGGTTCTGTCTACCCCACATTTTTCTATTTTGTCAAGTAGTAGGTTGTGATCTACTTTATCAAATGCCTTACTGAAGTCCAAGTAAATTATGTCCACAGCATTCCTCTGATCCACTAATTTTGTCACTTGGTCAAAGAATGCAATAAGATTTGTCTGGCATGATCTATTTTTGACAAACCCATGTTGGCTTTTAGTAATGACTTTGTTTGCCTCTAGGTGTTCGTTGATTCGTTGTTTGATTATCTTTTCCAGGATCTTCCCAGGTATTGAGGTCAGGCTGATAGGTCTGTAATTTCCTGGATCCATTTTTTTTCCTTTTTTGAGGATGGGAACTACATCAGCTCTTTTCCAGTCCTCTGGTAGTTCCCCTGTGTTCCAGGATCTTTGAAAAATATAGTTCAGTGGCTCCGATATCACATCTGCCAGTTCCTTGAGAACTCTGGGGTGTAATCCATCTGGTCCTGGCGATTTGAACTCATCTAGGCTGGACAGGTGCTCCCTAACCATTTTCTTGCCTATCTTAACTTGTGTTTCTGTTTTGTTTTTTATGGCACTATTTTTGATAGGTTGGTCTGTTTTTTCCCTTTGTGTAAAGACAGATGCAAAAAATGAGTTAAATAGTTCTGCTTTCTCCCTGTTGCTTGTCACCTTCTTGCCACTTCCACCCACTAATGGACCAATCATTTCCTTCACTTTTTTCTTGTTTTTTACATGTTGAAAGAAGCTTTTTTTGTTATTTTTGACTTTGGTCGCAAGCCTTAGTTCATTTTGAGCCTTGGCTTTCTTCACTTCATCTTTGCAGGCTCGGGCTATTTGCTGATATTCTGACTTAGTTATGTTCCCCTCTTTCCACTTTCTGTACTTGTCCTTTTTATCTTTCAATTTGTCAGAGAGTTCTTTATGCAGCCATGCTGGTTTCTTTTGAGAGCTGTTATTTTTCCTCTTTGTTGGTATTGTGCTAGACTGTGCTTTTATTATCTCATTTTTCAAAATTTCCCAAGCTTCTTGAGTTGTTTTCCCCTTGAGGATTCTCATCCATGGAATCCTTCCCAAGCCCTCTCTAAGTTTATTGAAATTAGCTCTCTTGAAGTCCAAGACTCTAGTTTGACTGTGTTCTATTGGTTGTGCTTCTATAATGTTGAATTCTAATATTGCATGATCACTTCCTCCCAGGGTTCCTATGGCTTCAACACCGTCTATCATTTCATCTCTGTTAGTGAGAATTAGATCCAAAATGGCTAATCCCCTAGTTCCCTTCTCTACTTTTTGGGAGACAAAGTTGTCTGCTAGGTTTGCCAGGAACCTGTTTGATCTTCCACTTGGTGCGGAGTTTGTCTCCCAGTTGATGTCAGGGTAGTTAAAGTCCCCCATTACTATTGTGATGTGCTTCCTACATACCTTAGTTAGCTGACTAGCAAAAAGTTCATCTATTTCCTCTGTTTGGTTGGGTGGTCTGTAGTATACACCTATGGCAATGTCATTTCCCCCCCCTTTTATATTGACCCAAATGCATTCAAGACAGTTTTTATCATTGTTGTACTCTATTTCTGTGGAGATGTAGTTATTTCTTATATAGAGAGCAACTCCACCTCCTCTTTTATTTGGTCTGTTTCTTTTAAATAATTTAAATCCCTCTAGCTGTGTGTTCCATGTGTGAGTTTCATCCCACCATGTTTCCGTAATGGCAACAATATCGTATCTGCCCTTGTTAACCTGAATTTCTAGTTCACCCTGTTTGCTGTTCATACTCTGTGCATTGGTGTATAAACATTTGAGTCCTTTGTGGGTGGCCCCACAAGCTCTGAGGTTTGTTTACATACACAATTCCAAAAGCTACCATCTACCTTTTCCTGACAACTTTGGGCTTTATTTCAGGAGTGCAGCATGAAGTAAGGTTCAGAATCTAATCCCTTTGTGATTTGGGATGGTCTTACAATCAACTGAAAAGTACTACTTTTTGAGCTGAAACCCAAGACGTAAAGTAGGAAGATCGGATTATATGAAAATATGAGGAAGCTGAATAGCAGCCCAATTTCTGAAGGACTGAGCATTTCTTTCTTGCCTCTACCCATATTCTGTTCACATTATTTCCAAAATGGGAAATTGTTTTATCTTTTAGGAGAACAAAACGCCTTGCAAAATTTAGAAAAAAATGTATTGTTTTATGAGTTAATGTGCAAGGTGATAATTAGAATAGAATACAGCTGGAAGGTACTTTGGAGATCTTCTAGCCAGTCCCCTGCTCAAGCAGGAGAACCTATACCATTTCAGATAAGTG